ATTTTTATGTTCCTAGTGACATAAGATACCCCAAAACTTGTCAAGAATGACCAAAATACGCGCTTTTCCGACTACTTCCGGTTTGGCCGGAAGCGACGTGTCGGACGATTTTGACGACGCCCGTAGATTAAGCTTAAACAACTTTGCTTCTTTAAATGTATTACAAATTCTCAATACTTTTTGAGATATAAAGGAAATACTTATGGCCCCTCCAGTCCCTTAATTTTAGGGGCCAGCCCTTTTTCGAGATATCATTTGAAAGATCTTGGAATTCTACACTTCTTTTGTTCTATGTGTTATAACAAAATATTTCAAAGTAAAAAGATATCATAGAAAAGGTTGTAAAGAATTTGAAATTCGCGATAGGACAATTTTCGGGCCATAGCGAGCGCCGACGCGCGGCACTTCCGATAAAAATGAAATTCATTTTGCACATCTATAGACTTAGGACTATCACACCTGAAATTTTCACGTTTCTATCTTTAGCCAGTTTTTAGAACGTTCGCGGACAACCTGACCCTTCAAAAATCATAAAATCGAAAATATTTCCGGACCGGAAGTGACGTCATCAAAACGGAAAAAAATGAATCAAGTTCAAGTAATGTTACATGAGTCCTGAAAGTTTCATGGAAATCCATCGAGCCGTTTTCGAGAAATCGCGTGCACAAAATCGGTAAGAAAAAAAAGAAGAAGAATAGGTAAGAAAACAAGAGGCCCATGGGCCTGATAGGTCACCTGATTATTGTGTAACAACTTTCAAACAATTAAATTTGGTTCGTGTTTAAACCGGAGGCCAAGAAATTCACAATTTACAATTTTGAAAGAGGCACCATTGCTTATCATAATTATTAACTTAGCATGCTTACTCTATTTACTTAATACCCAGAGGTAGATCAGAGTAACAAAGAGAAAATGCACTTCCACTTTATAACCAGTTGTGCACCTCACCCCAAAGGAACCACTGACCCAGGGCCATATATTTCAAAATTTTGCAAATTTTATCATAAAATGGTTGATAAATACTAAAGAGCAGATTTCAAAGATTTAATTTATTTTCAGGCTATGTAACCCCCCCCCCTTTGACCCTGGGGGCTTAAAAACCACTTTGCTAGATGCACCTTTCTTCATCATAAATATATATATATACTTGAATAATTGGCTTAAAACCCAGAAGCAAAGAAAAATATTTACAAAGAATAAATGTATTTTTACTATATAATCAATAGAGCCCCGACTTAACACCAGAACCCCTGACCCTGGGGCCATAAAATTCACAATTTTGGAAGAGGCACTCTTGTTCATCATAACTATGTGTTTAGTTAGTTTATCTAATACCCAGGAGCAGAGAAGAAGATTTTCAAAGAAATAATGCATTTTCACTATATAATCTATAGAGCCCCGCCCTAACACCAGAACCCCTGACCCTGGGGCCATAAAATTCACAAATCTGGAAGAGGCACTCTTGCTCATCATAACTATGTGCTTAGTTAGTTTATCTAATACCCAGGGAGCAGAGAAGAAGATTTTCAAAGAAATAATGCATTTTCACTCTATAATCTCTAGAGCCCCGCCCTAACACCAGAACCCCTGACCCTCGGGCCATAAAATTCACAATTTTGGAAGAGGCACTCTTGCTCATCATAACTATGTGCTTATTTAGTGTATTTAATACCCAGGAGCAGAGAAGAAGAAACTCAAAGAAATAATGCTTTTTCACTCTATAATCTCTAGAGCCCCGCCCTAACACCAGAACCCCTGACCCTCGGGCCATAAAATTCACAAATTTAGTAGAGGCACTCTTGTTCATCATAACTATGTGCTTCGTTAGTTTATCTAATACCCAGGAGCAGAGAAGAAGATTTTCAAAGAAATAATGCATTTTCACTATATTATCTATAGAGCCCCGCCCTAACACCAGAACCCCTGACCCTGGGGCCATAAAATTCACAAATCTGGAAGAGGCACTCTTGCTCATCATAACTATGTGCTTAGTTAGTTTATCTAATACCCAGGAGCAGAGAAGAAGATTTTCAAAGAAATAATGTATTTCACTCTCTAATCTATAGAGCCCCGCCCTAACACCAGAACCCCTGACCCTGGGGCCATAAAATTCACAAATCTGGAAGAGGCACTCTTGCTCATCATAACTATGTGCTTAGTTAGTGTATTTAATACCCAGGAGCAGAGAAGAAGATTTTCAAAGAATTAATGCATTTTCACTATATAATCTATAGAGCCCCACCCTAGCACTAGAACCCCTGACCCTGGGGCCATGAATTTCACAATTTTGGTATAGGACTCAATGCTTATTACATTCATGCCAATAGTTTGCCTGCTTGATGTCCAGGAGTAAAGAAGAAGATTTTAAAGATTTCATTAATTTTAGTGGTTTTGGCCCCACCCCTCAGGCCCCAGGGGGGCGGGGACCATGAAATTCACAATTTTTGTTCCCCTCCACCCATAGATGCTGTATACCAAATTTGGTTGAAATTGGTTCAGTGGTTTCAGAGAGAAGAAGCTGAAAATGTTCAAATGTTAACACACGACACACGACACACGACGGACGACGGACGACTACTGACGAAAACGGATAGCAATAGGTCAACTGAGTTACTCAGGTGACCTAAAAAGTGAAAAAGAAACCGAAGAATAACAAGAAGGTCTTCCACTCAACAGGAAGACCTTTAATAATAATAATAAGAAACAGAGTAAAAACAATATGTTCCCCAACTTCGTTTGGGGAACATAACAAGGTAATGAAAGATAACCAGCACAAGTATACAAGTACCTAGTATTGGTGTATCGTGGATAATGCTAGTGAAATTGGCGTTTGCCTATTTACGAGTCGTGTCCAGCTTTAAGAATTGAAAGTACAGTTTTGAATCATTGGATCCAAACAATTTTAATGTTTTTCTCTAATTGCTTAACAAAGATACTATGATCTAGGGCCTGTAATATGATATTACAAAACTGACATACATATTTCAAATAGAGAGAATATTTGCTAATCCGAAATTCCTCTAGTTCTCTAATTTTTTTTTGAGGATATACTAGTTATAATAATTGCTTCTTATATTTATTAACTTTTTCTCATTTTCACATTTAGTAAATTTGTCACATAAATCTATAAAATGATACAAGACTTAAAAGTTTTGATCGTTTACAAAGAGAAAAATAACACCTTTTTGCGGATTTTAGGCTCAAATTTGTACTTATATTGAAGCATTTAAAAGCCATCATAGTTCTAGTATGTCTGAAAAATCTTATTGTTTTGATATACTTTTGAAACTGAAATCCCTTATTATTAATTTGACTAAAATTTGAAATTTCGTCTAGTCTTGATTGGTTAAAAAATGACTAAATTCAATGTTCTATAATAATTTTGAGAGGCAGAAAAGACGATATCTTCATACGACACCATTTCACCAAAACTATATAGTCCCTGCTTGTTTTCAAACACAGTTTATCATTCTATTTAAATTTTTGAATTATGATAAGGAAAGAAAAATATGGTCTTTTAAATCTCTTACACCTAAATATATAATACATTCAAGAAAATTTACTTTGAATAATTCATCTGCTCGGAAATTAGAGAAGAATCCTTGAATTAGGCAAATACTCGCACTACCTGATCAAATAATAGTAAATCAGAAACCCAATTTCTAATTTGCAAGATGTGATTTTTGGACTGTATTAATTAATTTGACGTTTACTTGGCGCTTCACATATCCGGTAACGATTTCGCTCAAAGTAGGTGTCATCAAGAAACTTACAAACTTTGCTACTAGATTCAATTTAAATTGAAATAAATTGAAAATAGAAGGCCGGAAATAACTTTCGATTGACAGAGGAGAATAAGGACATACATGTAATGAAATTATACTTGTGTTGATGAGAATATGTGGATGACGTAGACCACGAGTATGCAAAATGTGCAACATGTTTCAAATCGTTGCGACAGACAGACTTTTGTCAACGGACAAGTTGAAGCTAATATTAATCTGATTCGCAAGAAAAAGAAATAAACTAATATATGAAGTAATTTATTAGCCAGTATACGTAACCCTGAGCTTTGTTAATAATATCATAGTCTTATCGAGCAAAATATATTTATACAGTTTTAAAGTACAGGTGCATCCTCCATTTTTTTTCAAAGTGTGAAATAAAACTAAGAAAAAGAATATTCCACTCTGATGTAGATAGTAAACACATTACCTTCTGTGTAGCATTTTCACTGTGTGTAGCTACAATAATGACTGATGTGTCCTCAGCGCAGTACGTGTGAATAGATTTCAGCCAGAAAAGAACGTACTCTGAAATCACAACACAAAATATAAGTGTTTATATTTTTAACTGAATGGGCTTGACAAATATTTTAAAATGAAAAAAAAGACATTCATTATTTAGCTAAGATTTCCGACACAACTCTCTGATTAGATTTAGTTTAGCTTAATGTTATTTACGCATTACATTTAGCGCATAAAAGTTTTTTAATCGCCTCCTATTGCTTCTACTGCCAAAGTCAGAAGAACGGAAGAGGATATTCAAATAGAATAGTCTGTAATTGAACTGACTTTAATCACAACTGACATATGCTATAAAGTACAATAATAGCTTGTGTTGTATAACTTCTAAAGGATACAGGTAACTGCTGATTAATAGTAAATGTTCTAAAAGAAAACAATGAGACAGAAAACCTTCCTTGCGATAGTCCTCGTTTACACCATCGGACAATTGTTTTTTTTTTAAATCATGATGAAAACACCAATAGTGTAGCGACTTAGATCAAACTTTCAGCCAATTATTTCACTTGTGGATATAAGCATGAAATTTGGCACAGATGTATATCTGATGCTACTAAATCTATAAACATCGTAAGCTACCGCGATTTCCGCCATTTTTAAGATGGCCGCCACTTAAACAAAATGGCGACATTTTTTATGCAGTTTGGCCTCACCTAGAGTCTCTTACAACCAAATAAATTCTACTTTAGTCACTGAAAGATATTTTAGAAGTTTAAAAAGACTATATAAATCATATTTCACTTTGAATGCTATAAATAAAAACAAAATTATTTTCTTATAATGCATTTATATATACGAATTGGTATTGTTCCCATAGACACCTGACATTACCTATTTTTCTTTTAATAAAAAAAATAAACATACCTGATAAAGTATTATGTAGGGGTATATCTTTATTATCAAAAGAAATATAAGTAACATCAGATGTCTATGATTGTTTACTATTGTAGAATTTATATATAATTACATTGTATAAAATGTATCGTATCGTCACAGTAGCGAGATGCAATTCCTTAAAAACTTGTGGTAGAAATTTTCACAAAAGCTTCTCAGGCGTTCCCTCACTATCCAGTGGTCATAAAAACCAAGTAAATTCTTATGTAAGTCCTCAATAAGTGAAATAATTTTCTTATGTAAGTCCTCAATAAGTGAAATAATTCTTCCAGGAATGTAAAACTTAATGTAGTGAAACACACATTCAAGGCACGTAAAATCTCAATAAATGAAATAATCTTCCGGGCAAAGTAAAATGTTCTATTAGGAGAATTAAATTGCAGGACATTTAGTGGGACAGTCTCCGTGCAATTGGCTAAATTGACAATCACCTTCCAGGTAAGACTGGAAAACAGAATGTGATTTTACGTATCACACTGGACAACTTATTGCAACTAATTGCTACATCATGTAAGAACTGGTAAATTGTGTAAAATAACTTCAACTACTTTAGATCCAAATTACCTTGCACTACTATATGCAGCTGTACACTGTTCCGAAGATTGCAAGTTATGTCATTAAACATTTTATGTTTGTATTTAAGTGCATGCGCAACGTTTGTATCAATTAAATAAAGCTTAAATTATGTCATATACTGTACCAAGTTCCCTTTTATTATTTCAGAAATAAATTAGAGTATTACCAAGAAACATTCAAAATATCAGGAAAAAATGATAAAAACAGACGTCATTTTGAAATAAGTGGCAGCCATGTAAAATGGCGGAAATTTGAATGGCCAACGATATTTCTTATTCCAGTCAAAGAACCTTCATGCAAAATTTGGTGCTTGTATCCGCAAGTGAAATATTTTCCCACTATCTGCTCCACTACAGGAGCTTATCTTAACAAGGAACTGACAAACAGACAGATATTCTTATTCCAGTACATGCCCTTAACATCGTTTGCTGATGATGCAAAATCTAGTTTTAAACAGGATGTGCAGAATAAAAAAAAATGAGGAAGAATCAAACGGTACATATATTGAGTATGACAGAAAAAAGATCGCTCAAGCTGGCTTCATATTTTATTTCTGCATTTACTGCAATTGTTAATCCTGCATTTAGTGAAACAAGACATATAATTAAAAATATTTCCGACCGTATAGATACTAGTAATCAGATGCATCTAAGTAGTAAAGTATGTAGTATTAATTTTTTATGGCATGTTTCATGGTTGGAACAGCCGCCACATAATTATCTTGTTAATTACTTGTATAGTTATTTATGTTTTATTGATGAACGAAATCTATATGGGACAAAAAGGAATGGCTGTTAAGATAAATTACTTATATCACAATATTTAAAATTATAATCGAACTGAGCTATTTCTTCAATATTTATATCTATTGTGCCAAATATTATCGTTTTTAATTGACAAATGTTCTTTATATTAAGTGCGAATCCTGGCTGCGACAAGCCGACGTTGTGTCCTTGGGAAAGGCACTTTACACGAATTTCCTCACTCCACCCAAGTGTAAAAGGGGTACCTGGCTATAGACAGTGAAAGATATTGTCAGAATGTTAGTGTTCTAGCGCTGATAACGGCAGTTTGCACTGAGAAAGATTCTGGATTGTTAAGGTCTACTGGGGTAATAATGTACATTGTAAAGCGCTTTGAGTAGCATTAATACTAGAAAGGCGCTATATAAATACAATCATCATTATAAAGGTTAAATATAAAAGACACTTTGACTAACTCAGCATTTAACTCTTTTTATTACCTCCATATGTCCAGTCTGCAAACATTGTTCCCCGTTGCTCACATTTATTTTCATCAACTTTTTCTGTAAAAGGTTTGGACATGTCTATGACCAGTAGATAGAACGCTCTTTTGCTGAGATAGACCTGATGACAGGCGTAGTAGGCAGACTGTCCTCCAAAATCTACTACACTCAGAATCTGTTTGTCGTCTTTGTCTGTACTCCCTGATAATGCTGTAAAAACGATTTCATAAACTAATCGAAAATTGAAACTTTTTTAATCAAATAACCTACTCCAATGGATGTTAGGTATATTAAAGAAATAAATGACAAAGTTCATTCAAAATTGAGTTAAGTATGACGAACAAAATGAATTGAATTTTTTTGTGTGTGAAAAATCTGGTTAAAATGTCATTGATATTTGGAGAAGAGTAATTCTTCGTTTTGATGATAACATTCTCAATATGAATTAGTACACTGTATATATATACATGGGTTTGTTACAACAGCTGCACAGCACGGTGACATCATGTTGAAATACTACATTAACTAGAAGTCTCTATAGGAGACTATAGCTCTACTGGTTTATACTTAAAACAAAGGAATATAGAAATGTAGCAGTTGGGACTTGAAAATTTCAAACAGCAATAAAAAGAAAAATTATCCTTGCCACTCATCAAAATAAAAACCGATGCACAGTATTATTGTGTCTTAGTGTAGTCTACTTGTATGCCAAGGTATATTGAAATCGGACCAAAAATGTAGGAGGAGCAGCATTTTGAAGGAATTTCATAGAACTTTCTATTTTTAGTAACCATGGCAACACTGTTCATCGAAATCAAAAACTGATGCACAGAATTATGTATCTTTGTGTAGTCTACTTGTGTGCCAAGTTATATTGAAATCAGACCAAAACTGTAGGAGGAGGAGCATTTTGAAAGAATTTCACAGAAATTTCTATTATTAGTAACCATGGCAGCACCGTTTATCAAATCAAAAACCGATGCACAGAATTATGTGTCTTAGTGTAGTCTACTTGTGTGCCAAGTTATATTGAAATCAGACCAAATCTGTAGGAGGAGTAGCATTTTGAAAGAATTTCACAGAAATTTCTATTTTTAGTAACCATGGCAACACCGTCCATCAAAATCAAAAACCGATGCACTATTTTATGTATCTTAGTGTAGTCTACTTGTGTGCCAAGGTATATTGAAATCGGACCAAAAATGTAGAAGGAGTAGCATTTTGAAAGAATTTCACAGAAATTTCTATTTTTAGTAAGTAAAAACCATTGCAACAACGTTCATCGAAATCAAACACCGATGCACAGAATTATGTATCTTTGAGTAGTCTACTTGTGTGCCAAGTTATATTGATATCAGACCAAAACTGTAGGAGGAGTAGCATTTTGAAAGAATTTTACAGAAATTTCTATTTTTAGTAACCATGACAACACCGTTCATCAAATTCAAAAACTTATGCACAGAATTATGTATCTGAGTATAGTCTACTTGTATGCCAAGTTATATTGAAATCGGACCAAAACTGTAGGAGGAGTAGCATTTTGAAAGAATTTCACAGAAATTTCTATTTTTAGTAACAATGGCAACACCGTTCATCGAAATCAAAAACCAATGCACAGAATTATGTGTCTTAGTGTAGTCTACTTGTGTGTTAAGTTATATTGAAATCGGACCAAATCTGTAGGAGGAGTAGCATTTTGAAAGAATTTCACAGAAATCTCTATTTTTAGTAACCATGGCAACACCTTTCATCAAAATCAAAAACGAATGCACAGAATTATGTGTCTTAGTGTAGTCTACTTGTGTACCAAGTTATGTTGAAAGCGGACCAAAACTGTAGGAGGAGTAGCATTTTGAAAAACTGTTTACAGACGGACAGAAACCTAGACGGACGGACGACAGACGCATTACTATTGCATAAGCTCTTCTGGTCTCTGACCAGTAGAGCTAAACACAAGTTGTGTTTGATGAGACAGTACCACCACTGATATTTAATACTTAACAAAGTAGAACTTTGACGTTAAACTTTTGCAACTGCTATTTAAAATAGAATGACGATCCTGTGTTAAGGTAGGATATTAAAGCAAGAGGCCCATGGGCCACATCGCTCACCTCGTACCAAGGGTAGAACTAGTATAAAATGGCTTTTTATTGTAAAGTTTAAATCCAAAAGTAGTCCCATGACCAATCATGGATTTGCTATTTTTTAAAAAATGATTGATAAGAAGATTTTTAAAGAATTTTCCTATATATTTCTATGTAAAACTTTGGTCGGCCATTTTGGCCTGCCCGGGGGTCATGATTTGAACAAACTTGAATCTACACTACCTGAGCATGCTTCCAAATAAATATGATGAATTATGGCTTTGTCATTCTTGAGAAGAAGATTTTTAAAGAATTTTCCTATATATTTCTATGTAAAACTTTGGTCGGCCATTTTGGCCCCGCCCCACGCCCGGGGGTCATGATTTGAACAAACTTGAATCTACACTACATGAACATGCTCCCATATAAATATGATGAATTATGGCTTTGTCATTCTTGAGAAGAAGATTTTTAAAGAATAATTTCCTATATATTTCTATGCAAAACTTTTGGTGGACCATTTTTGGCCCCGCCCTACCCCCGGGGGTCTTAATTTGAACAAACTTGAATCTACACTACCTGAGCATGCTTCCATATAAATATGATGAATTATGGCTTTGTCATTCTTGAGAAGAAGATTTTTAAAGAATTTTCCTATGTTAGATTTCTACGTAAAACTTTGGTCGGCCCATTTTTGCCCCGCCCTACCCCCAGGGGTTATGATTTGAACAAACTTGAATCTACACTACCTGAGCATGCTCCCATATAAATATGATGAATTATGGCTTTGTCATTCTTGAGAAAAAGATTTTTAAAGAATTTTCCAATATTTCCATGTAAAACTTTGGTCAGCCATTTTGGCCCCGACCTACCCCCGGGGGTCATGATTTGAACAAATTTAAATCTACACTACCTGAGCATGCTTCCATATAAATATGATGAATTATGGCTTTGTCATTCTTGAAAAGAAGATTTTTAAAGAATTTTCCTATATATTTCTATGTAAAACTTTGGTCGGCCATTTTGGCCCCGCCCTACCCCCGGGGGTTTTGATTTGAACAAACTTGAATCTACACTACCTGAGCATGCTTCCATATAAATATGATGAATTATGGCTTTGTCATTCTTGAGAAGAAGATTTTTAAAGAATTTTCCTATATATTTCTATGTAAAACTTTGGTCGGCCATTTTGGCCCCGCCCTACCCCCAGGGGTCATGATTTGAACAAACTTGAATCTACACTACCTGAGCATGCTCCCATATAAATATGATGAATTATGGCTTTGTCATTCTTGAGAAGAAGATTTTTAAAGAATTTTCGTATATATTTATACCCCCCGCTTGAAAAGCGGGAGGGTATATAGTGATCGGGATTTCCGTCCGTCTGGCCGTCCTTCCGTCCGTCCGTCCGTCTGTTACGCTTTTTCTCTTATCCGCAACTCCTCTTATACTACTGAGTGAAATTTAATGAAACTTTCACAGAATCTTTATTACATATTGCCATTGTGCACCTCCTATTTTACTTTTTGATTCGACACGTATTTTAGGTTTCCCAGAGCAAAACATGGACATAACCATTTTTTGTTTACCTATGACGTCACATAATAGAAGCTTCTGGATAACATTTGATAGGACGAGTTATTCCTCTTTACACATTACCGTAAAACAATATAAAGCAACACATCGACATTATGGGAGGCGGGGGGTATCATTTAGTGAGCTCATTGCTCACAGTACCTCTAGTTCTATGTAAAACTTTGGTCGGCCATTTCCCCGCACTACCCCCAGGGGTCATGATTTGAACAAAATTAAATATAAACTACCTGAGCATGCTCCCATATAAATATGATGAATTATGGCTTTGTCATTCTTGAGAAGAAGATTTTTAAAGAATTTTCCTATTTCTTTGTAAAACTTTTGTAGGCCATTTTGGCCCTGCCCTACCCGGGAGTAGTAGTATTTTTGAACAAACTTAAATCTACACTACCTGAGCATGTTTCCATATGAATATGATGAATTATGGCTTTGTCATTCTTGAGAAGAAGATTTTAAAGAATTTTCCTATATATTTCTATGTAAAACTTTGGTCGGCCATTTTGGCCCCGCCCTACCCCGGGAGTCATGATTTGAACAAATTTAAATCTACACTACCTGAGCATGTTTCCATATGAATATGATGAATTATGGCTTTGTCATTCTTGAGAAGAAGATTTTTAAAGAATTTTCCTAAATATTTCTATGTAAAACTTTGGTCGGCCATTTTGGCCCCGCCCTACCCCCGGGGGTCATGATTTGAACAAACTTGAATCTACACTACCTGACCATGCTTCCATATAAATATGATGAATTATGGCTATGCTATTCTTGAGAAGAAGATTTTTACAGAATTTTCCTATATATTTTTATGTAAAAGTTTGGTCGTCCATTTTGGCCCCGCCATACCCCCGGGGAGGGGGGGGGGGTCTTGATTTGAACAAACTTGAATCTACACTACCTGAGGATGATTCCATGTAAATATGATGAATTATGGCTTTGTCATTCTTGAGAAGAAGATTTTTAAAGAATTTTCCTATATATTTCTATGTAAATCCTTGGTCGGCCATTTTGGCCCCGCCCTACCCCCAGGGGTCATGATTTGAACAAATTTAAATCTACACTACCTGAGCATGTTTCCACATGAATATGATGAATTATGGCTTTGTCATTCTTGAGAAGAAGATTTTTAAAGAATTTTCCTAAATATTTCTATGTAAAACTTTGGTCGGCCATTTTGGCCCCGCCCTACCCCGGGGGTCTTGATTTGAACAAACTTGAATCTACACTACCTGAGCATGCTTCCATATAAATATGATGAATTATGGCTTTGTCATTCTTGAGAAGAAGATTTTTAAAGAATTTTCCTATATATTTCTATGTAAAACTTTGGTCGGCCATTTTGGCCCCGCCCTACCCCAGGGGTCATGATTTGAACAAACTTGAATCTACACTACCTGAGCATGCTTCCATATAAATATGATGAATTATGGCTTTGTCATTCTTGAGAAGAAGATTTTAAAGAATTTTCCTATATATTTCTATGTTAAACTTTGGTCGGCCATTTTGGCCCCGCCCTACCCCCGGGAGTCA